CATTTCATCACACGGTAAACCTCACAAACATGATGCTAAGTGAAAGCCAGTCCCCAAAGACTTCACACTCTATGATTCCATCACATGAAATGCTGCATACAGCCCACACAGCACGGTGGCATATGCCTGTCATCCCAGCACTGTGGGAGGCAGAGGCGAGCGGATCATGAGGTCAAGAGATCAAGACCATCCTGGCCAACATGGTTAAACCTGCTCTCCATTAAAATGCAAAAAATTAGCCGGGCACCATGGCGCGCACCTGTAGTCCCAGCTACTTGGGAGGCTGAGGAGGCAGGGGAATCACTTGAACTCGGGAGGCGGAGGTTGCAGTGAGCCAAGATCACGCCACTACACTCCAACCTAGGAGACAGAGCGAGACTCCATCTCAAAATTAAATTAAATTAAATTTAAATTAAAATAAATAAAGCAGAGGAGAAAGTAGCTCAGACACATCTCCCCACAGCCCCCAGCCTAGAGTGACATCTGGAACTCAAGCCACTATCCCAAGTCAGCTAAAACCAACCAGCTGGGACCTGCAAGCAAGTAAGACAGGGACACTTCTTGGCACTTTATCCTGGCAAAGCACATGCATGTGCTAGCACCAATACACCGAGGCCTCTGTGGTCATCCATAATTGAATGATCAAAATCAGCAGCTTTTATTCTTACCTAGGTGTGGGTCCAACAGATGAGGCTGCTCCTGATATTTGTTCATTATTCCTAAAAACAAATACAACATGAAAATTAATTATCATTAGGCCAAACATGCCTATGAGCCTCAGAAACCCCATTTTCCCTTGCTAGCTTCCTCAGAACAGCTCCGTCTCTTCCCCAGCCTATGCTGCTCTCAGGAGCACACCTCCCCTCTCATTAACAGAGGCCACACAGGCCACCTGGAGGGAATGCCCCAACTCCCTCTGTCCTTTCAAGGGTCACTGTGTCCCAGCCACGTGCAGTTTGTTTGTCTGGCATGTCTGTCTTTTGTGTCCTCTTCTCCCACCTCCTCTATCCTCTTCCTAACAGTCTCCTCCTCACCTCTCCCTTTCTTCACTCTCCCCTGCCTCTGCCGGCCATTAAGGGCCAAGCTCAATGCAGGCCTTGTGAGACACACATCCCTGGCACTCCTCTCACACTCCCCTGCCAAACACGCCTGTAAAAACAAAATTCTCAGCCCATCAGCCATGTAACGGACCCTTCTACTTGGCCAAGGACACTCCAAACTTAACCTGAAAAACTGGTTCAGGCCTCATGATGGGAAGGGAGTTGAGTGGGGGTTGGACAGGCTTCATTAAACCCTCCTCCCATCGGAACTCAGGCACAGTTGATGAGTACTAGCATTAAAATACTTCAGTAACAGTAAGACACCAAGTTCCAGCCTGACTCTAGTGCAGCACCACATGCCAGACAGCACGCCCTGAAAGAAACCAATTTTTTCCTAAAATATATTTCTTTGACAAATGGCCCTGCAAAGCTGTCTCTTGTAGGGAAAAGCTACATTCTGTAGAAAATCCCTTTCCTTTCTGGGTCTTTTCCCTAATCCAGAAGATAATTAACTAAGTCTGGTACCTTTCTAGTCTGATAAAAAGCATTTATAATCTATTCTCTCTGAAACCAGCTAACTGGAAGCTTCATCTGTGTAACAAGAACCTTGGTCTCCACAATTTATCTTAACCTAGACAATCCCTTCCTTGGATTTCAGGTCTTCAGATAAACTCTTTCAACCAATTACCAATTGTAAAATATTTGAACCCACCTATGACCTGGAAGCCCTCCCACCCAAGACGTCCCGCCTTTTCTGACTAGACCAATGTACATCTAACATGTATGACTGATGTCTCATGTCTCCCTAAAACATATAAAACTAAGCTGTAACCTGACTCCTGAGGGACATGTGACCTCCTGAGAATGCCTCACGGGCAGTCCTTAACCTTGGCAAAAGAAACTTCTAAACCTACTGAGACTTGTCCCGATACTTTCTGGTTTACACATCCAGGCACTGCTCCTTTCCACACCCCTGACAACTCTTCCGACCCAAGACTCCACAACCTCCCTGATCCTGAGCCACCTGCTCTCCACTCCTCTCCGCAGCTGACTGCTTCTGTCCAATCCGAGAGCTTCCACTTCCACATCTGAACATACTCACTGCTTCCGAGCAAAACTGCCTTTGCAAAAATTAGATCAGTGAGAAAATGATGGCAATGGGGGGGATTTGATCCAGTCAATCCCCTCATGCCTTTAGTCTTCCAGCTGCCATGCTACCTTTGGGAGACATTTACTTTGCAGTTTAAATGGTAAGAAGCCCTTCCCCAAAACTCAACTGCCTTTGTAAAGCTCATGAGAGGCCAGGAGGAAGAGGAGCCTGAATTCCACTAAGGCGTAACAGAAACAATTGCCGCCATTATTCCCGGGGTCACAAGACATGCAAGTTCCCTAGGTACTTCCGCCGGCCACATCACTGTTGCAGAACCTGAGACTGGCGTTTAGAGATATGTTTTCAGATTGTTTACATGTGTGACACCTACACTAGCATCCACCAGGCTCCACCTGGACCCACCCACTGATCTTGAAGCCCTGCCCAAGGGTCAGCACAAAGGGTCATTTCCGACTCCCTATGATTGTACACCCCTAACCAATCAGCAGCCACCCCTGCCCTTTCCCCCAGATTGCCTCTAAAAAACCTTGGCCCCCAAATTCTCAGGGAGACTAATCTGAGTATTAATAAGTCTCCCTTTCAAACAGCTCTGTGTGAATTAAACTCCCCATTGCAATTCCCCAATCTTGACAAATGGGCTCTATCAGGGCAGCCCGCAAGGAGAACCCATTGGGGCCGGGCGCGGTGGCTCACACCTGTAACCGCAGCACTTTGGGAGGCTGAGGCGGGCGATCACTTCAGTCAGGAGTTTGAGACCAGCTGGGCCAACATGGTACAAAACCCCCTCTATCAAAACTACAAAGTTAGCCGGTCGCGGTGGCGCGCGCCTGCAATCCCAGCTATTCCGGAGGCTGAGGTGAGGCAGGAGAATCGCCTAAACCCGGGAGGCAGAGGTTGAGGTGAGCCGCGCCACTGCACTCCAGCCTGGGCGATAGAGCAAGACTCCATCTCAAAAAAAAAAAAAAAAAAAAAAGTGAAAAAAGGAACCCATTGGGCTGTTACAGCAGGAACGAGAACTCTGGCTTCCCTGGTCCCTGGATGAGGGTCCCTGACCTTTATCAACCCCGGGCAAGTATCAGGTACTCATAGGCAGAGGGGGCACCTGACGCCCAAGCCCGCATTCGCTCACAGGCCCTCCCCACCCGCCTGACTCCTAAATCAAAGCGCTGTCACTCCAAACCGAGGAAGGCCACGTTACGCAGAAGTTCCTCCTGTCGAAGGGCCCACAGAGATGAATTTACTGCATCACAAAACCGTGTGTCACTAACCACGAGACCCTAAGGACTTGCTTGGAAATAACCGTTAATGGACGGCTGCAAAGCGGGTCTGAACCCGGAGAAAAGAGGCTCATCGAAGAACACACACCCCGAACCCCGCACACACCCCCAACCCCCGCAAACCCCGCAACCCCCGCAACCCCCGCACCGCCGCAGACGCACAGACCCGCCGGCGCGCTCCACGCGGCGTCCGCGGAACCCGCAGCCTTTGTCTGCAGCAAGTTTGGTCCCCGCGTCCTCCTCTCACCCCTCCCGTCCACGCAACGCCCACAAGAACCGGACTCGGGGAAGCAGGCCTGGGAATCCACCCTGCGGGGCTGACCCGCTGCCCGGGCCGTTCGGAGGGCTCTGGCCTGGGAGCCTCCTTCAGGGACCAAGACGGAAGCGGGACCCCGCCTCCCGGGTAGGCCGCAGACGCTTCACCCCGCGCGCAAGCCGGTGCCCGGCGAGCTACGGGCTCCGAGAGAGGCGCGCGCCTGCCCCGTGCACCCGACGCCGCGCCGGGGAGGCCGCGCCCCGCCAGGCCCGCGGGACCGCGTGCGGGCAGCCCTCGCGGAGCTGCCGCGGGTCCCCGCCCGGGAAACCGCCCCGGCGAGGGAGGAAGCGCGCACGGCCCCGTCCACGCACCGCGGAACCGCTGCAGAGCCACCTCGTGCGTCTTCCCGACGCCGTGCACCTCCCGCAGGCGGCACAGCAGCGCCCGGGTCTCCGCGCTCTCGCCGAACGCCTCCAGCGCCGCGCCGCCGGCCAGCGCCTCGTCCTCCGCCTCCTCCTCGGGGCCGCCCGCGGCCGGCTCACTCAGGGCCATCTCGGCGGCCTGCAGACTGCGCGCGCCGCCGCCTCACCGGCTCGCAGCTCCGACTCCGCTGGAGCGTGAGCGCCGGGGCTGAGGGAGGAGGGAAGAAAGAGAAGGAGGCGTCCGCTGAGGCGGCAATGGACGCGGCTCCGCCCCGCAACCTCCGACCCCGCTCGCCGGCCTCACTACGGAACGCGCCGGCCGCCAAAATACCGCGCGCGGGACGGCGCCGTGCCCGGCTGGGCGCGAGCGGAGGAGGGGCTCAAAGGCTCTGGAAGAGCGCGCCGAGGCCCCCACAGGGCCCTAGTGGAGCCGGGACCGCTCCTCCGGGTCTGAGGAGCGGAGAGCGGGGCGGGACAGGGGGTGGAGCCTGAGGCGCGGAGGGCGGGACGGGATGGGGTGGAGCCTGAAGCGCGGTGGGCGGGGGCTGGAGAGGGGGTGGAGCCTGATGTGCGGTGGGCGGGAAAGGGGGCGGGGATGCTGGGTGGGGCCGGTGGATGGCGGAGTAGAGGCCGGAGCACGTAGGAAGGGGCGGGGCTTGAGCACGCGTGGGCGGGCAGGGGCGGGGCTTGTTATAGGGGACGGGGCGGGGCCTGAGCACGAGGCGAGCCCCGGAACCCACCACTCAGTGCCGACCGCCCTGATGCCCGTTCCAGCCGCGCTGGGACTCGCGGACCCCACGAACCCCGCGCCGAGCCGTGGTGCGCCCCAGAGCGGGAGCAGGGCCCGGAGGCCGCGTTGGGCGCTGCGCCGACTTTGGTCTCGGTGACCGGGCCCGCGTGCGTTTCTTCTGAATCGCCGCAAAAACGTCCGCGCCCGCTCGCCTGAAAGCAGCCCCACGCGCGGAGCACGGAGGCGCGGGATGCCAGCCGAGGCCCGCTGTGGACTTTATTGTCCCCCTGCATCTGCGAGGGTAAGGGGGACCGGGACGCGGGCGGGGGAAGTGGGCAGGGGCGGGAGGTAGCGGACTGGGGAACAAGGACAGGGGAAAGGGGCCGGGAAAAGGGGCTGGGGAAGGGGGCAGGGGCGGGGAAAGAGGGGCTGGGGAATCGGGCAGGGGCGAGGAAGAGGGGGCTGGGGAAGCGGGCAGGGGCGAGGAAAGGGGGGGCTGGGGAAGGGGGCAGGGGCGGGGATCCGCTACTTGAGCAGCCTCCGCATGGTGCCCAGCGAAGGGCTCCTGTACTCCCGCCCAAAGTGGTTCCAGTGGTTCAGGTAGTTAAAGAGTTGGTAGAGCAGCAGCCGCTGGTCGAAGCCGGGAGCCTTGGGGATCTTCCGGTGGTACGCGGTGAAGAAGGATCTGGGAAACCCCCCAAACATCAAGGCGATTGCCAGTTCAAACTCGGAATGGCCATAGAAGGAAGCCGGGTCGTAAATAATGGGCCCCGCGTCGTTCTCAGCTACGTTTCCCGACCAGAGATCCCCATGGAGCAAGGCAGGGACAATCTCCAGGCCACAAAACAGATCCGGGATCTTCACCTAGGAGAGCAAGGGCCGCAGTTACCGCCGGCCTAGGGGAACCCCAGTCTCACCGCCGCCTCCTTGGCAATAAGGCAGAGGCCCCTGCAAGCTGGTTCCAGTAGGACCCAGCACTGCTTGCCAAGCCCAGACATCGGGCCACCTGACTCCGGGGAGTCCAGCTTTGTCTAACAGGATTTCCTCCTAACTTAGGTCTAGAAGCTCCACATACTAACGACTGATTTCCACACGGGAGAACCTCCAAGGTCACAGTCTGATCGGTCCGCAGATAGGAACAGTGAAGGCCACCTTAGCAAACTCCCTCCACTTTTATTTCACTTCATATGTGTGTCTGCAGGCTTTGTTTGTCATGTATTGATGATGTCAATCAATCAGGGAGACAGTCTCACTCTGTCACCAGGCTGGAGTGCAGTGGCACCATCTCAGCTCTCTGCAACCTCCACCTCCCGGGTTCAAGCGATTCTCCTGCCTCAGCCTCTGGAGTAGCTGGGATTTCAGGCACGCACCACCACGCCTGGTTCATTTTTGTATTTTTAGTAGAGGCAGGGTTTCACCACATCGGCTAGGCCAGTCTCAAACTCCTGACCTCAAGTGAACTGCCTGCCTCAGTCTCTTAAAGTGCTGTAATTACAGGCGTGAGCCACTGCACCTGACCAAGAGTCACATTTTGAAATCAGTCACTGGAGCATCTGGTACCCACATCTTCCCACGGGAGAGGAATGGGCTGGAGTGGACAAGTGTTGCTGATAGTAAGAAAAGTATCAGGGTCACCAACACCGTTTACAAGCACCTGTGTTTCATATGAGGAAAGCCCGAGGCTGAATACCTGGTGGCCCAGCAGGGAAGGGGGCAGGAGCCAAGCATGTCTTCACTTCTCGCCCCTTCGGCTTCCCCGTCAGGCCACTGGTCAGGCACTGACATGCCCCTGACTTGACCCTCTCTGCTTTGGGGCTCAGTGTTCCCTGCTCCAGCTCAGTTTCACAAAGGACCCCACATAAATGGGGGGGCTCATGAGAGGACCAGCTCTTGCCCAGGAAAGTCACTGCCATGCCCACCTGTAGCCGGGACCAGAGTTCTCGTGCCTCTCGGTCAGCATAGTCCTTTTCAATGAGGTCCAGCTGCGCCTGGAGCCGGTGCCGGGCAAAAAAGGTCGGCCAGTCATCCTGCCATTCATTCACCTGGCAACAAGGGGAAAGAGAGTGCTGCAGCTGGGAGCCAAGTGCTGCCCAAACCGTGGAGGGACTGATTAAAACACACCACGGACGGCTAGTAAGCCAGCAGAGGAGGTGAGACAGAAACACAGAACAACCCAGAAGAAGGCAGGTAAAGAGGGAAGAGGGAACAAAGCGTGGATGAGACAAACCGCAAGATGACAGACTCAAACCTCAGCATAGGACTAAGCACATTAAACAGGAATGTCAAAAGCAAATACTCCAGGTAAATGACAGATTGGCAGGCGGGAAAAACAGAGCAAAAGCCAACAAGTCATACATCATCTCTGAAAAAAATCACTTAAAATGACGGAAAAGATACACCACGCTAACACCAGTCAAAAGAACGCTGGAGTGGCTGCATTAACACAAGACAAAGTAGGTCTCAGAGCAAAGAAAATCGCCAAGTATAGTATTTCACAAAGGGAGTCTACTGACAAGCATAATAATCCTAAATGCCTACACCGCTAATATCACAGCCTCAAAATACATACAACTAAGGACTGCAGGAGAAATAGATAAATCCCATATCCTGCTATGGACTGAGTGGTGCCCCAGCCCATTCCTACGTGGAAGCCCTAACCCTATTACAACTGTATTGGAGGAAGGGCCTCTAGGAGGTAATGAGGGTTAAATAAAATCATAAGGGTGAATTATTAATTCAGTAGGATTAGTGGCCTATAAGAAGAGAAATAGAGAAAGATTTTTCTCCCTGCACACAAATCTCAATACATTTAATTTAAGCATGCTAAGGATAATGAAATTCAATCCGAAATCAATAGGAAAATCTCTGGGAATTCCTCAAATATTTGAAAGCTAAATAACACACTTCTAAAATCTGTGTAAGGAAGACTTCCAAAGGGAAATTAGAAAGTGTTTTCAATTGAATGAAAGCAAAAACACAACTTATAATTTGTGAGATGCAATTGAAGCAATACTTAAGGGGAAATGTATAGCACTAAAGGTCTGTGTGAGCAGAGATCTCAAATTAATGACCTCAGCTTCTACCTTAACCAGCCAGAAAAAGAAGAGCACATTAAACTTAATGTAAGTAGAAAAAATGAAATAATAAAGATCTTATCTAAAATCAGTGAAACAGAAGTTAGAAAAATGAGAAAATTAACTTGTAAAAAGTTGGTCCTTTGAGGAGATCAGTAAAATTGATAAACACCTAGCTGGGCTGACTCAGGAAAAAGAAGAAAGATACATTACCGGTATCAGGAATGAGAGAGGTGACATCCATACAGATTTTACAGATATTAAAAGGATAATAAGGGCCAGGCGCAGTGGCTCACACCTGTGATCCCAGCACTTTGGGAGGCCAAGGCAGGCAGATTGCCTGAGATCAGGAGTTCCAGACCAGCCTGGCCAACGTGATAAAACCCTGTCGCTATAAAAAATAAAAAAATTAGCCAAGCGTGGTGGTGCAAACCTGTAATCCCAGCTATTCAGGAGGCTGAGGCAGGAGAATCACTTGAACTCAAGAGGCAAAAGGTTATAGTGAGCCAGGTCTCACCACTGCACTCCAGCCTAGATAATAGAGCTAGACTGTCTCAAAGAAAAAAAACATACAAAAATTAGCCAGGCATGGTGGCAGGCGCCTGTAGTCCCAGCTATTCAGGAGGCTGAGACAGGAGAATCACTTGAACCTTGAACCCAGGAGGTAGAGTCTGCAGTGAGCCAAGATTGCGCCACTGCACTCTAGCCTGCTCAACAGAGCAAAACTCCATTTCAAAAAAAAAAAGAAGATAACAAGGATTTTTTTTTTTTTTTTTGGAGACTGAGTTTTGTTCTTGTTGCCCAGACTCAGACTGGAGTGCAGTGGTGCGGTCTCAGCTCACTGCAACCTCCCCACCTCCCAGGTTCAAGTGTTTCTTCTGCCTCAGACTCCCAGGTAGCTGGGATTACAGGCATCTGCCACCCCGCCTGACTAATTTTTTGTATCTTTAGTAGAGATGGGGTTTCATCTTCTGAATTACAGGCATGAGCCACCACACCAGGCCAAGTTTGGTAGTTTCTTAAAGAGTTAAGTATGAATCCATCATGTGACACAGTCGTTCCCAACCTAAGTATTTACCTAAGATAAGTGGAAGCATCTGTCCAAAGATTTGTACACAAAGGTTCACAGCAGCTTTATTGTGTAACCAAAAGCTGGAAATGACCTGGAAGTCCACCCACATGTGGATGGATAAATGGGCTGTGTAATGTCTATACAGTGGGATGGACTTTTGACACATGCACCATGGATGTGTGTCAAGGATGAACATCCAAAGATTTCAGACATGGATAAATGTAAGAATGATTATGCTGAGTGAAAGCAGCCAGACGAAAAGACTACATGCCATACGATTCATTTATATTAAATTCCACAAGATGCAAACTAATCCACAGTGACTAGATGAGTGGTTGCCCAGGCGCAGGGTCATCAGTATACTCACCTTGACTGTGGCAAGAGGTTCACAGGTACAAACATGTCAAAATGCACCAAATTATATGTTTTAAATGGGTGCAATTTATGTCAATTACACCTCAAAATAGAGAAAAATGCAAAGCTTATTTTGTACAAAGGGTTATTTATTTTGTAAAACTCCTCAGGGGAGTTTTACAGGGAGGACCACCCTGGTCGAGGGCCTGCACCATCGAGGCTCTCCCTGCACGTAGGTGCTATGGTGACTCGGCCTGGGGCTCACTCCCAGGTGCTATGTGCACCTCAAGAGCAGGATGGAAAGGCCCCCTCCCCACAGCCTGGCTATCAGACTCCAGCTCAGATGGGCACCCTGCCGCTTCCCGTCATTTTCCATGTGCCTGCCCAAGCTCCCAGCGTCTGAGTTCTGTCCTCTCTTGGGAAGACACCCAGGGCTAGTGCTGGGAGCAGGGGACCAGCATGGGCCAGTCCAGTCCTGCTACCTGAACAGAGGGGCTGTGATCCAGCGACCCAGGAAAGGTGCCATCAGGGTGCACAGCTGATCCCAGTGGCCAGGCCTCCCCTTGACAGAGGGGCAGGCAGGGCTGGGTCATGGCCAGGCCTGTGCTCTGGAGCCAGACAGAGAACCAAAGCCCAGCTGCCCCAGTGACGAGCTCCACGGTCCCTGGAGTGTCACCCTGCACATCAATTTCCTCATCTATAACACGGATCAATGACATTACCCGCCTGGTTACCTGCTAGGGCTAGTGGGTGAGCTGAGTCCAAGGAAGTGCTTAGAACAGTGCCTGGTATATGGCAGTGTATGGAGCATGTGGCCATCATTGCAGCCGACCCAGCTGGTGGCCCCAGTGGGCCTCAGTGCCTTCAATGTCTGAGGAGCCCACCATTCAGCACTGCCCCCAAATGGAGGCAGCACACACTCCCCAGGACCCATTCAGCCCTCCCAAGGAGTGGGAAGCCTCTGGAACCTGGTGCTGTCCGAGACAGGATGTGCAGGAAGCAGGGCAGGTGTCCTCCCTAGCTCCTCACCCTTCCTAGCCAGGCAGCAGCTGATCTGAGGTGGCTCCTTGATCCTGGAGTCCAAAGGGGCGTTGAGGGGCTACCTGTGCTCCAAACAGCAACTGCCTTCTCATCTGCTTCACACACAGGGGCTCTGGGTAAGATTTCACTTCATTTCTTTGAAACACCACTCTGCTGGGCCAGCCAAGTCTCACAGATCCCACACTTGCAGCCCTTGACCTCAGCATCCTCAACTTACCTGACAATGAAGGCGGTGCTGCTCACTGACTCTAGGCAGCTGTGTGACCCCAGGGGAACCCGCTGTGGCTGAGATCTCAGGGGTCTTGGTAAATCTGGTAGACTCCATGTGCAGTTCTAGTGAGCCCAAATATGAGGTCTGCCTGTTGGCTGGGAACCCTAAATCTGCTTGGGCGTCATGAGGATCTTGCCCCAAGTGGCCTCCAGCTGGGAGAATCTCCCTCCACCCACACCAGGGAGAGCTTGGTCATTATCTGCAGGGACCAACTACTCAGGACAGGCTTCAATGAGGACACAGATTTGATAGCATCCTCTCTTCAGGAAGCAGTAACTTTAAACCGGACTAGGTCTTATGTAATTGGCACTGTGTCCCTAATGAAACCAAAATATGGTCCCATAATGGCTTCTTTGAGGGAGGCACAGGGCAGGTGGGCTGTCCAAAGCCTTCTTTGGAATTTCACAGGTTTCAGAGATGTTGGTTCAAGAGGCCTCAGTATTATTCAGTCATAAAAAGGAATACGTAAGCAAAAATGTGGCCTAGCCATGCAATGGAATATTATTCGGCCATAAGAGAATAGCATTCTAATACCTGCTACAACACGGAAGAACCTTGAAACACAATGCTTAGTGAAAGAAGCCATGCACAAAAGGTCACACATTATGTGATTCCACTTACATGAAATATCCAGAATAGGTCAATTCGAGGAGACAGAAGGGGCATTAGAGGTTGCCAGGGAAGGGGGATCTAGGGGGTGACTGCTAATGAGTTCTGCTTTAGGATAATGAAGATGTTCTGGAATTAAACAGTGGTGATGGTTGCGCACCCCTGTGAATGTACTAAAACTAATTAATTCTACCCCTTAAAATGGTGGCTTTTATGTGAATTATATCTCAATTGCATCTAAATAAATAATAATTTGTAAAGGCCTCAGGAGAGGAGCTGAGCAATCAGGACTTAATCCCTGACTTTGCACACTACCTGTCACCCACTGTCTCCAGTCCCTCATATTCATCAGGAGCCTTGTGCAACACAACCTTTGCTGCCTCTGCTTGGAATGCCAATCTGCCTGCCTCAGCATGTCCCATGAGCCTGCCCAGCTCAGCTCAGTGACCCTTGGCATCTGCTCTCCCCATTCCAGGTATCACAGCTTGTACACTGCTTTCAGAAATCAGGTAGTCAATCTTACTGGTGCCTAGGAGACTGCATTCTGTCACATATAAAGGGTGGGTGACCAGCATTAGAGCATCAGGGAACACCCTCACCCAGGCACTCACCTGTGGGATGAAACCGCAGCATGTCACTGTGTGGAAGCCGAACTTGGTCACATACTGAGGCTCAGCACCCTCACTTCTTCGGCCTGTTAACAGAGATCCTTGCCCTGAAGGAGCCGTTTGTCTTTCTCTTAAATGCCAGACCTCAGCATAGCATCAGTACAAGCCTGGGCTGCACATGCTACAATATGGGTGGTCTGAGGATGTACTACATACAATAGCAATTAGTCAACATATGGATCTACCAGGACACTCCTACCTCAAGCACACTGGACAGCAAGGCTGGGTATAAAAGGGGTGGTTATTACCTCAAGCACACCTGACAGGAGGGCTGGGTATAAAAGGGGTCATGTGCCAATTCTACTAGCTTATCAGCTCCATCAAAATTCTTATTTAATAATCTCTTTTTCATACTGTAGTGTAAAGAGAGATGGTACACAACTCAGCCTATTATTGAAATGCCACCAAGAAGTACCATGAGCACCAATCTAGGATAGGCAATGTAGCTGGGTCAAGGGTATCCAAAAGCAATCTGAACATACCCACTGTGTTCTCCTCCTTCTTCAACTTCTCCCTGAGCTTCTGGTTGTAAAGGTGCAAATCTGCCATCTGGTCTCCAAGTTTTGATGCTTGACTGAGGAAAGAAGAAATGCAGCTAGTTAAAATAACAAATAAAAAATAACATCACCCAGTTGTTACATTTTGAAAAATGTTTTAAATACATTAAAAATTACTCTCCACTCTTGGCCAGGCATAGTGGCTCACACCTATAATCCTAGCACTTTCGGAGGCCAAGGCAGGCAGAGCACAAGGTCAGGAGATCAAGACCATCCTGGCCAACATGGTGAAACCCCGTTTCTAGTAAAAATACAAAAATTAGCTGGGTGTGGTGGCACACACCTGTAATCCCAGCTACTCAGGAGGCTGAGGCAGGAGAATTGCTTGAACCCAGGAGGCAGAGGTTGCAATGAGCCAAGATCACGCCATTTCACTGCAGCCTGGGCAACAGAGCAAGACTATGTCTCTGAAAAAACATAAGATAAAAATAAAGTACAAAGCAAATGACAGGTTCAAATATACTTATTCTGGCCAAGTGCGGTGGCTCATGCCTGTACTACCAGCACTTTGGGAGCCCAAGGTGCGTGGATCCCTTGAGGTCAGGAGTTTGACACCAGCCTGGCCAACATGGTGAAACCCCATCTCTACTAAAATTACAAAAATTAGCCAGGTGTGGTGGTAGTCACCTGTAATCCCAGATACTCAGGAAGTTGAGGTGGGAGAATCACTTGAACCCTGGAGGCAGAGGTTGCAGTGAGCCGAGATTGTGCCACTGCACTCTAGCCTGGGCAACAGTGAGACTGTTTCAAAAAAAAAAAAAAAAAACTTATTTTATGCAGCCTCATTACAGCCAAACTAATCTTAAAAAAACAGTCACATACCAGAAAGCAGCAACTTTTTATCTACATTGAGAATGGCAGGGTAGAACTCTTGGCCCTGCCTCTGATAACTGGGCAGTTGTGTGGACCGCTCAGCCAGAGGCTGCTCCCTGATTCTCTGTCTCCCTCCCCTTCTCTGTCCCTATCTCTGTCCCTCACTATGTCTCTCTGTCTCTCTCTGCCTGTACACATGTGTGCATATGGGTCTCTCACACACACTCACCTGCTCAAGCTCCTCATCTTCAAATACTCCATCACAAAGGCGGCCCCACCTCCTGGCAAGTCGATGACTTTCATGGGCCTCGGCACTCGCACCAGGCCGGTGCTCCGGAGGGCCTCCAGGCTTGCCACCTCCCCTTCAAACATCTGCCGGGCCTGCATCCAGAACAGCCATGAGCCTCCTCAGCCTTGTTGACTCAGCCAGGGCCTCTGCTCACCAGGCCCTTGATGGAAGCCACCACATGGGAACCACAAGGACCTTCAGTCTCTGATACCAGCTGGGAGCTGGCATCCACCGTGGAGGGCAGAGTGCAGAGGGGCCCCCGTTAGAGAGGAGAGGCTGCAAGGCTGAGGCTGAGCCTGGGGCCTGAGGGGTGTAGGGTCTGCTGGCTGCTGTGAGAGGAGGAAGCACAGGCCACGGAGGGCTGCCACAGAGCACTGGGGGTATGGGGAGGTGTGAGTTAACCAAGAGTCTGGAGCTGGACCCCTGGGTTACCCAGCTTCCTTGCTGCCTCTTAGGGAGTGGCAGCCATAGCAGAGCTGTGGAGCTGACTTGGGCACAAACTTTGGGCAGGGATGAAGAGGGCTGGGCCCATCCTCCGATCGACACACACCCAGCAGGGGCTGGGAAGCTAAAAGGCTCCGCAAACCCTGCCCACCCCCAGCACCTCCCATGAAACCCGGGCCTTCCTATTTCTGAAATATCCCCACTAACATCCCAGTTTTGAGTTAGGTGAGGAAAGGCGGGGTTTCACCCTGCACAGCTTTCAGGACCAGCTGAGGAAGTTTCCCAGGCCCCATGGGAAGCCTGAACCACAAACCGCTTCCTAGTGAGTGGGACTCCTCACTTTGAGGGATTCAGTCCTGCGCCAGCAGAGCAGGCAATGCAGGAGGATCTGATCCCACACCCAGGCTGCATGGCTCTGGGGTTCCTCCTGCCAGCACTCCCCACCAGGACCTCTGCAACCCCTCAGAGCCTCCCTCACCAGAGTGGCAGAGCTTCCTGAGCCCACTTGGGCCGAGAGGGTGCCCAGGCCTGCCTTTCCCCGCCTGCCTGCTCTCAAAGCTTAAGCTAACTTTCTCTACTTGTGCTAACATTTTCCGTACATTCTTTTTTTTTTTTTCTGAGACAACCTCCGCCTCCTGGGTTCAAGTAATTCTTCTGCCTCAGCCTCGGAGTAGCTCTCACACACACTCACCTCGCAGGGTCCAGCCATATCTCTGCTTTGTCCCCGCTGGGACTACAGGCGTGTGCCACCATGTGAGATAATTTTTGTATTTTTTTTGAGACAGAGTTTCGCTCTTGTTACCCAGGCTGGAGTGCAATGGCACAATCTCGGCTCACCGCAACCTCTGCCTCCTGGGTTCAAGCAATTCTCCTGCCTCAGCCTCCTGAGTAGCTGGGATTACAGGCACGCGCCACCATGCCCAGCTACTTTTTTGTATTTTTGGTAGAGACGGGGTTTCACCGTGTTGACCAAGATGGTCTTGATCTCTTGACCTCGTGATCCACCCACCTCGGCCTCCCAAAGTACTGGGATTACAGGCATTAGCCACCGCGCCCGATCAATTTTTGTATTTTTAATAGAGACAGGGTTTCACCATTTTGACCAGGATGGTCTTGAACTCCAGACCTCGTGATCCGCCTGCCTCGGCCTCCCAAAGTGCTGGGATTACAGGTGTGAGCCACCGCACCTGGCCCATACATTCTTAAACAGAAATATTTTCAGCAGGAGATAGAAACCAGGGCTAAACACAGGCACAGCTTGTGGGAAGGGGAACGCCAGCCTGGCCCGTGGGGTCCCTCGCAGGGTCCAGCCATATCTCTGCTTTGTCCCCACTTTGTCCCCACTGCCAGGAGGACCATGGGCTGAGGGGCGGCCCAGAGCTGAGCCCGGGACCCCAAGTCTCACCTCCCTGCATGCTTGATGGATAGAAAAATTAAAACCACCCCCAGAAGCCTGTGCGCTGTGCACGGAGGCCAAAGGAAGGCAATGGTGGTGCCGAAACCTTCAGAGAACGCTGGAGCCACGCTCCCAGCAGATGCCAGCTTCCCAGCGCCGAAGCTGTCCCCACCAGGCCCAGCCCTGGGAAATGTGCCTGCCCGACCCCTCCGCCTCCCCAGGCGGCGCAGAGCCCCGCGGAGCCCACGGGCCAGCACCTGTGTCCTGTGGTTGACTTTGACGAACACGGGGCCTGCGTCCGTGTCGTAGGCTCGGCCCTCGCTGATGCAGCCGCCGCCGGGGCTGCCGAAGGCCCGCAGGGTCGCAGTGCGCAGCTCGGCCCGCAGCAGCTGCTCCATGGGGCGCGGGACTCGGGATTAGCGGCTGGGAAGCCCTGGGCCAGGCGCTGCGGGGCGGGGACCGCGCGGCGCGTGACCCCGGGCGGCGGGAGGGCGGGGCGGGCTCTCGGCGCGCTCCCCGCGTTGGTCCTGCTCCCGCCCGCGCCCGCACCCGGCGCCCCCTCGGCCCTGCGCGCTGGATGCGGGGAAAGGAGCCGAGCGTCCGCGCAACTCCGCGGGCTCTGGGACTGAGCTCCCTGCAGGGACCCGGAACGCCTCCCACGTAACGGACGCAGGTCCGTCCCTCGGCCCGGGCGCGGGTCACAGGCCTGGCTGGCTTCCCACGCTGCAGACAGGCCAGGCCCAGCGGCCGACGAGGAAGAGTGGGGTTTGCACACGGGGCGGGGAGGTGGGTAGGTGCCAGTCGGAGGGACGGCTGGCGTGGGGGCTCTGATAGCGTGCGCTGACCCTACCCGAGTGGGGCCCCTGACTCCAGGACATCCTGGGAAAGGGACTTCAGACACAGGAAGGCCCATGCGCGCGCAGGCACACACGGACACACGCGAGCACACGAAGCGCGTGCACCTGAGCCCAGTCCATGCTGCATCATTTGTCTTGAGGTTTTGTTTTGTTTTTAAGAGATGGAGTCTCGTCCTGTCGCCCAGGCTGGAGTGCAGTGGTTCAAGCTCATCTCACTGAAACCTGCGCCTCCGGAGTTCAAGTGATTCTCCTGCCTCAGCCCCCTGAGTAGCTCGGATTACAGGCCAGCGCCACCATGCCCGGCTACATTCTGTAGTTTTAGTAGAGATGGGTTTCCCCGTGTTGGTCAGGCTGGACTCAAACCCCTGACCTCAGGTGATCTGCCTGCCTCAGCCTCCCACAGTGCTGGGATTACAGGTGTGAGCCACTGAACCCCACCTGAAGTGTTTTGGGACCAGGTCATGGGGGCCCCTTCCACGACCCCCCTCCATCCCCTCATGGACCCATGAAGCCCTCCCCCACTCTCTGCTGGTTTTTCATTCAGCCCATGGTAAGTTCACTTTACAAAATAAGAAAGGGCCCAGGAAGAGAGATTTGGGACTAATGCCATTTACTGAGCTTTTGCTATGTGTTAGGACCCAAGTTAAATGTCAGCTAAGCCTCACAACCATCCTGTGAAGGGGCCGTCACTACCTCCCACCTTCCAGGTGAGGAAACTGAGGCACAGGGAGATTAACTTGCTGAGGTGCCAAGGGTCCCAGCGCTGGGAGGTGGCAGGGGGATCTCAAGTGTCTTTCTGACATCAGCCCCACCTTCTACACCCATGAGTCTCCTGGGGAAGCTGTCCAGCAGGAAGTCCCCAGAAGTCCCGGGACAGGGTTGGTGTAGGGCTGTAGGGCCCCACAGGGTCGTGGGGTGTCCCTTGCTGTGCTGAGGTGCAGAATCTGAGAAGTAAAGAGACAGGACACTGAAGAACTGGTGAAGAGCATCTGAACTCGGGGGACCACATGACCTGTGAGTGGAGATCAGTGAGAGCCCCAAATGCCCAAGAGCATCTGTATTTATTAGATACAGCAGGGGGCAGGGTCATGAGTGAGGTCATCCTCTACAGGCTTAGTGATAGGGCATACACAATCGTGTGAGTCATAAGCGAGTGGGCCACCCCATTATGTCACCTGGGCAAAGAGGTGGGCTGTGTGCAGTAGGGGGCCATGCCATGTTCAGTAATAGAGGGTCGTGTACAGAAAAGGGGTCCACCCCCATTAGGTCATCGAGGCAAGGAGGTGGGCTGTGTGCAGCAAGTGTCGTGCGCAACACTTCTTATCTGGGGGCTGGAGACTTCAAAGGGTTTCTAATAGAAAGATACTGTAAGCCAATGCAATGGGAGCTGACAGACTTGTGCTCTTAAGATATTTATGGGAGGATTCTTTGCGCTAGCACAGAAGTGAGAAAAGACTGACAGGGTGGACAGCCACCATGACTGGTCACACCAGAGGGGTTCTTCTCCTTCAGTTATTTCTGGGATCTCAGGCCTGAGGCCTACTTTCCACAGGAACTGGATGCAAGGTACTACAGCTCCTTTATCAGGAGGGGAGGCTCTTGCTCCAAGCCTGCCATACAGCATATGCCCTTTCAGACAGGATCAGCACCACCTGGGTCTTTGGTTCTCGTCCTGGTCTGGCTGTTTGCCCATGTGCTGCTTCTGTTTTGTGACTGCTCTAGGCACTCCTCCTACCACAAACTACTATATGGTTATATGGAAGGATTCTATAAATCAGCACTAAAGGTGTCCGTACAGCTCTGACTACAATACCTATGTGATTATACAGAAAGATTATATAGGGGCCGGGCACGGTGGCTCAAGCCTGTAATCCCAGCACTTTGGGAGGCTGAGGCGGGTGGATCACGAGGCCAAGAGATCGAGACCATCCTGGTCAACATGGTGACCATGGGAAAACCCGTCTCTACTAAAAATACAAAAAATTAGCTGGGCATGGTGGCACATGCCTGTAATCCCAGCTAATCAGGAGGCTGAGGCAGGAGAATTGCCTGAACCCAGGAGGCGGAGGTTGCGGTGAGCCGAGATTGTGCCATTGCACTCCAGCCTGGGTAACAAGAGGGAAACTCCGTCTCAAAAAAAAAAGAAAGATTATATAGAACTAAGTATGCTAGATATAAGTATTAAGTATAATTATATAAGCTAGATATATGTAAGCAGTAAATTATACTTCAGGCACTAATTCTATAACTAATATGTGACTATATATGAAGGATTATATAAAGGAAATAGCTGAGTAATAACACTATAAACTAAGATATTCTTCAGGCACTAATTGTGCCTGGGGTCTGGACAGTTCTTCCTTGGTGCCCATGGGGGGTGTTACCCACAGGCCGGGACCCTGCATTCCCAGGATGTGTCCCAGGAAACTGTGTTCCACAAGCCGGCGCCCACTTAGGTAGAGACATCTCTGCTAAGAGGTAGGCAGCCTCAGGGAAGATAAAGCCTACAGCATTTTGATAAGACAAGCAGCTTCGTGGGTTTATTTATTTATTTATTTTTTGTGACAGAGTCTCTGTTGCCCAGGCTGGAGTGCAGTGGCACAACCTCCGCTCACTGCAACCCCCGCCTCCTAAGTTCAAGCGATTCTCCTGCCTCAGCCTCCCGAGTACTGGGATCACAGGCACCCGCCACCATGCCCGGCTAATTTTTGTAATTTTAGTAGAGGTGGGGTTTCCTCATGTTGGCCAGGCTGGTCTGGAACTCCTGACCTCAGGTGATCCATCTGCCTCAGCCTCCCAAAGTTTGGGACCACAGCCCATATGTGGGGTTTTAATCAATAAATCTGTTTTTTGGGGGCCCCAATTGTCTTTTCCCACAGAGACACAGGGGCCCTGCTGCTAGGAGGCAGCCTTTGGGAGCTGCCCATCCCCACAGTCCTGCCCACCTGCTCAGCTGGGCGGGGGTCATTGGGAGGCTCCTTAACTCCTGCACCTGGCACTTAGGCCAGAATCACTGGAACCTGGGCTTAGCAGTCACTGTCAAGAAGGACATGTCCATGTGGCCTCTCGGTGTGACCTCAGCTTCCCTGAACATGGGGGCCAGGTTCCAAGAGTGAGCAATGGGAGAGCCAGGGCTCCCAGAGAACAGTCAGAAGCAAAGGCCTTTATGACCTGGCCTCAGAAGCCACAACCATCATTTCCACCTCCTTCCATTGGTCTCCAAAGCCATAATCAAGGGAAGGGGATCAGCAATCACCTCTTTTTTTTTTCTTGAGACAGGGTCTTGCTCTGTCACCAAGGCTAGAGTGCAATCTCGGCTCACTACAACCTCCATCTCCCTTGTTCAAGCTATTCTCCTACCTCAGCCTCCTGAGTAGTTGAGGTTACAAGCACGTGTCACCCTGCCTGGCTAATTTTTGTATTTTTACAAGGTTTCGCCATGTTGGCCAGGCTCGTTTCAAACTCCTGGCCTCAGGTGATCTGCCTGCCTCAGCATACCAAAGTGTGGGATTACAGCTGTGAGCCCTGGCACCCCAGCCAAGCAGCCACCTCTTGACAGGAGTGGCAAGGCTGCTGCAGAACAGCAGGTGGGGCAGGATGATGGCTGCGGTTTCTGCAGAAAGGGCATGCGCCACTCCCTGGCATTCTTTTCTCATCTGAAGCCCACCCTGCTATTACATCTAGACCAAAGATTGATCACAAGCCAATATGAGCCCTCGTACATTTGTAAATTTCCTTATTCCTGGTTGAGAGTTTGGCTAGGTATCAAATTCCAGCTTGGCGATCAGACCATGTTTCTTAGGAACTGAGAAGGTGCCATGGCTTGCCAGCTCCAGTTTTGATGTTCAGAAGCTTGGGGCCATTTTGGTTCTTATTCTTTTTTTATTATTTTATTTTTTCAAGACAGAGTTTCGCTCTTGTCTCTAGGCTGGAGTGCAATGGCATGACCTTGGCTCACTGCAACCTCTGCCTCCTGGGTTCAAGCGATTCTCCTGCCTCAACCTCCAGAGTAGCTGGGATTACAGGCACCCACCACCATGCACAGCAAACTTTTGTATTTTTAGAGATGGTGGGGTTTTGCCATATTGGCCAGGCTGGTCTGGAACTCCTGACCACAGGTGATCCACCTGCCTCGGCCTCCCAAAGTGTGGAATTACAGGTGTGAGCCACTGCATCTGGCTGGTTCTTATTGTGTGGAAACTACTCTCTCCCTGCAGGCTTTTAGAGTCTTCTCTGTGACACCAGTGGAAAATTCCCCAGGGAGGTGTTTGGGTGAGTCTATTGTCATCCCCTGAACAGGACTGATGGGTCACTTCAGGATGGAAACCTGGTCCTCCAATCCTGGGAGTCTTCGGCTCTTTCTTTATGATGTCCTCCCTCTGTTTTCTTGGTTCTCTTTTTTGGATTCCAATCTTTGGTCTAGAGTCAGTCCTCTCTGTTATCTTCTCTTAGCCCCTTGTAATTTTTCTTCAAATGACTCAGTCTGTAGTCACATGTTAGGCATCACATAGAGAAGGATGTACGAGTGCTCAGGTGTCTCAGTGAGAAGAGGGTCTGAATGAAGAAACAGCTATGCCGGCACCAGGCTAGGAAGTCCTCTATGTGGGGGCTAAGAGCCATTGAAGATTAAAGAGCAGGGCAGTTAAGTGATCCTAAGTTCCTCTCTTTTGAGACCGAGTCTCACTCTGTTGCCCAGGCTGGAGTGCAGTGGCACAATCTCAGCTCACTATAACTACTGTCGCCCAGGTTCAAGCAATTCTCCTGCCTCAGCCTCCCGAATAGTGGGATTACAGGTGT